TTAAAGTGCACTTTAACTTGAACTTATCATACCATAAATATTCATGCCATCCAAACCTGAAGTCATGACTTTTTAGCAGGTATTATGTATTTTAAGTCTGAACATTTGATAACTATTAAAACTCCTGCCAAAACAGATTCTTCCATCCTATGGAAGCTGGGCCTTTTAAAACACAAATTGTTGAACTGCTAAATCTTAGTTGTTGCTGTCTGATATGCATGGACTGAGCTTCTCAACCTTGATATGTAGACTTTAACACCCCAAATTCCCTAGCTAATATGCTGACTGAGGAATTCTATGACTTAAGTCCACATATCTTAAAGTTGTGAGAAATTGATTTTGATATTTCCCTGGTGCTTACTGGCTAGCTGTTCACTAAGAAACCCAATTAATTACATCGCTAAAGGCAGTGGAAAGCTACCTCTGGTTACCTACCAGAACAGTTACATGTTTCTATCATTTCCATACTTCAAATCCTACAAAGCAGCTTGAGGTTAACCTATGATTGCCTTACTTTGTCTTTACTCCAGGGAGAGGCAGAGAGAATTGAGACAGGAGTAAAGACAAGGCAATCTCTGCAGAGCTGCAGTGCTTTCAGCAAAAAAAGACCAGCTTTATGGAGATTCCAGATACACTACAGATGAATGACAATCAATCCACAAGCTTAAAGGCAAATCTTAGATATATACATAAATATAATCTTAGATATATACATAAATATATGCACAGGAGAGAAAGAAGATAAATTTAGTCTGAAAGCAGGGCAAACAAAAGAGTAAAGCAAATTGCTAGCTGAGAAAGGAAACGCTGTAAATCAAAGCTTTAAATTATGAGAGGCAGTAGATTATCTATGAGTAAGAAAGAAAAGAATAAAGCACTAGATTTTCTGCCTGGTGAATTATGTCCAGCTTTCCTGTATTTATCAAGGGAAGTGAGCAGCCCACTTAACATGGGTAGAAAGGGTGGCAAGCTTTGTCAGCAAGGGCATTGCCCAACTGATTAGGATGAATGGAGAGGAGAATGGTAGTTTACATGGCCAAGAAAAATAATCCAAACAGGCCAGGATGGAAGAGGCCTGACCCCCCAAATAAAGATCAAATTGCCAGAAAGGAAATTGGAGAAAAGCAATTCCATGAAACTCTGTGCAGTGACTGTGGTCTTTTTTGCAAAAGAATGGAAAGAGTTGGTTAGGTCTGTTACGTACTGTGCTTTTGAAATGTCCTGCTCTTTTAAGGACACTTCTCATTGTACTATATGTGTGAAAAGACAACTGCTAGCTCTTAGCAATCCTTTCAGAGCACAGAAAGGAATCCACGCCTACTGGGTTCAATAAGGAAATTTGTTTAAAGTTATTTTTGAACCTGTATATTGTAGTACTTTCTAGTATAAAAGAATACTGTCTGTTCCTATAGTTATTGCTTTGCTAATTCAGATAGGAAATTTGTAACTGTCTGGTCATTATGAGAGGGTTGAATCTCTTACTGGATCTATGGGAAGGATGGAGGAGGAAAGCCCACCCNTGTAAGAATACAAGCAACAAAGTTACAGTCATATAGTCATAGTGGAAGGAGACTGGTGATAGGAACGATGAGAAGATTAATAGTAATAGTAATGCAGACTTAGTAAATAGTTTGACGGTATTGAGGGAATTACTTGTTTAGCAGAGTGATGGCATTCGTGAAAAAACTGTTATTGTGTTTAATTGTGGTACGCAGTGCTCTATAGTGTCATTTTGAGGGTAGAAGTTGAAACAACTTATGTCCATGATGTGAGGAGTCTGTAAATATTTCCATGGCCCTCTTTTTGACTCATGTAGTATACAGGTCCTCAATGGAAGGCAGGTTGGTAGTAATTGATTTTTCTGCAGTTCTGATTATCCTCTGAAGTCTGTGTTTGTCTTGTTGGGTTGCAGAACCAAACCAGACAGTTATAGAGGTGCAGATGACAGACTCAATAATTCCTCTGTAGAACTGTATCAGCAGCTACTTGGTGTCAAGCCAGCCTCCCTCAGCAACCAAGAAAGAAACCACTTAACTCCATTTCGAGAATTAAGAGTACTTTTACTGGTTATGAAAAGATAGCAGCTAAGCAAAGCAAGATCTGAGGCAAATCATACATATCAATATGTGACCCAACCCCCTTCCCCAGGTAACCCCATCCCACACTCCAATCTGCAAATCCCTTAGGTGTCACGTGAGTTCCATCTTCAAAAAGCATCATCAGGTTGGTATGCAGGACAGTTGGCCTTGGCCACCCCAATCACTATCTCCAGCATGCGCAGTAGATGGTGAGAACAAAACCTCCTTTGTACAATCTCTCCTGTACTTAAAACTTCCCTTCCAAAATACCAGGCCCCCCTCCCCATTTCAATGGCAGCTGAAAGCAAATAGCGAAACAGAGGCTGACAGTTTGAGCTTTCTGAGTTGGCACAGAAAGAACATTCTTTGTTGTGCTTTTTTGATGACACTGTGCTATGCTTTGGGATTCCAAGGCAAACAGGTTCTGAAGAACTCCTGTAAGATCCATCTGCAACTTCTTAAAACAGCAGCATCTTTTCCTGCGAATGTCTCATTGCCCTCTACAGCCAATTCTCAGATTTCCTCTGCAAAGTTGCATTTGGCTTAAGAATCAGCAGACAGACGTTACATGTGCACCCTTGTCCATTCTGAAGCATCTTTTCACCTTTAAATCTGAAGACCTTTGCAGTCCTTGGAAAGAAATCCCATAACATATTCTTTGCAGGTAGAGACAAACACTACAAAGGTCAAGAAAGAACTAGAAGCTATTTATAGAGCTAGGAAATGGAAGCCATTAAGAAACGAAGTTGAATAGTAAATGTATTAAGTAATTTCTAGAAAAGCATGTAGTGCAATACCCCAGCTCTGCTTATGGTGGTCTAGACACATCGTATTATTCTTCCTTCTATAATTTATCCTGTCTAATCCT